ATAGTAAGTGTTGATGTTTTCTAATAGGACTAGGTTGCTCGCGATTGGCTTGCTTATGGTGTAGGTGTTTCCAATCAAGTGCTTGGATGATTAGGCTCTCTTTCTTCTTCCGCTCCCATCTAACACATGGTCTGAAAAGTCCCGGGCCTAAGAAAGAAAACGTTTCTTTTTTTGTTTCGTTCAAAAATCTCCATCAAGAGCTACACAATCATTCCAGCACCACTCTAAAATTTCAAAACCACTTTATCTCTTTCCTCAAAATAGGCCTCAGTTTCAGCAATAACCTCTTCATTCGACCGAAAATTCTCACCGGTGAGCATTTTTTTGAGGTCTGCTAACAGCCAGTAATCGCTGGGTGCCATATCTGGCGAATACGGTGGACGTGGAAGCAATTCGAAGTTCAATTCATGTAGTTTTGTCATTGTTTTGTTTGACTTGTGACACGGCGTGATGTCTTCATGAATTTTTTTTGCCATATGCGGTCGTTTCTTTACAAGTCCGGACTTCAAACACTCCAATAACGCTATGTATTGCAGAGGGTATTAATTGTCAGTCTCAGACTGATGTCATCTACACTGATTTTTCTAAAGTGTTCGACAGACTTGACCATAGTATCCTGTTCAACAAGCTTTCTACTTTTGGGTTACCCAATGAATTAATTACCCTCTTCAAATCGTATTCTTACAACCGTAAGCAGTACGTCCAACTCAATGGCCTCAAGTCTATCGAACATATAGCCACATCTGGTGTACCACAAGGATCAAATCTAGGACCCCTATTGTTCAATAATGATATCGGAGCTGAGATTGATGTCAATTTCCTTTTATACGCAGATGACTTGAAACTCTATCACAATATAACATGTTCTAATGATTGCGAACGTCTCGCCCTGAATTTAAATCGCGTTGATACATGGTGTCGGAAGAATAGTCTATCTCTCAACAAATCCAAATGTAATGTAATGTCTTACTTACTGAAAACGAACTTGAATTTACACAACTACGTCATAAACAATCAAGTTCTGGAGCGTCCTGACACACTCACTGATCTAGGTGTTACTTTTGATTCATCCCTCTCTTTCAATAAACATATTGACACTACTCTAACAGCAGCTTACCGCATGTATGGATTCTTAGTTAGAAATACAAAAGACTTCGAAAAAGCTTCAACATTGAAATTTCTTCATTTCACTTTTGTTCAATTTGGCTGGAATTATGCATCTGTCGTGTGGAGTCCCTATCCATAGCAGCCTCACGAAAACCAGGCCACCAAACGCGGACTGCGATTCCAAGAATTGCATTTACCGAATACCCTGTGAGTGCGGATAATCCTATATCGGTTGAACTAGGAGGCCATTAAATATTCGCATTGCCGAGCACAAGAAACACACACAGCGAGGGGAAACTAGCAAATCAGGAATAGTAGAGCATGTTTGGACCCATTAACATAACAATGAGTGGTCCCAAGCTGAGATCATACACAGGAAAAAACATTGGTTTACGAGGAAATTCAAAGAAGTCGCATACATGTCCAACAATGTATTCAGCCAAGCTAGCGTAGAGATACGCAACATATGGAAATCCATAATCAAGCGAAAAATGGCCAACTTCCGCCAAACTGTCATCTCCCACTAAACCGGTGAAGCGGAAAAACGAAAGCGGAGATAAGTGAATGTACTCTAATGACCCATAACTAGTCATCACTTGGAAGAATTAGTCCAATCATCACCCGAAGACGATTGTGGATACTAACAATCGAAACGTCGTGAAGTAACTTGGCTTAGAATCTCTCAACTTTTTATTTTTAATTTTTGTTCTATTGTTCTATTTTAACTTGTATTTTATTTCACTATTATTTCATTTCAGGTTTTTTTGCTCAATATAATTGTCATTTTCAGCTTTTCTCTTTTATTCTAGATTTAGACACGCCTGAAGAATCTATTGTATAGCGAAACACGTGTTGCGTTTTTGTATTACTGTGTAGTTAACATCTCACAATAAAATGTTGATAAAAGAGATAGTATAAACTCCTTTGGCTAGGTTTTATCTTCTCATTTTCCCGGAAAATATAAAAGATTCGCCTAGGAAGTTGAAGAGTGCGCCCTTGGATACTCAGTATTCAGTTAAAACTGTTCAACTCAACTTTTAGGTATTGAAAACACAAAAATCGGTTAGTACATAACTACAACAACGTCATAGAAATATGAAACGCATACATTTTTTTTGTACCTTCCCAATAAAAATGTTTGTATAAAAATAAATTTCCTTTAGCAGAAATAAAATACCATCTCTCCCAACGGAGATTCACTCCGTCATGTAAAAATAGTATCAAGTTGAATTGAATTCGAGTAAATATCTTATCTTATCTCAGGTAATATATTGGCTAACCAACATATCATTCAGTGTGTCTTTTCATCAGTTCGAAGAGCATCACATGTCGCTTAATTCATCAGGCAACATCCCCACATTCGTGAAAAAAATGCAGGGATATTTTTTTGTTGTGTTTCTCATTGGTCTGTGTAACGGGTAAGTCGAGCGATTGAACAATAAATGTGTTAGTGAAAAATATGAATTCGTGAATCTACAAGTGAGCCGTTAGTTATCTACGTTTTTATCTGCCAAAACAAAGTTGAGTAATTTTCAACACCTTCTATTGACTAAACATTTACCGCGACGTTTTATCGATCCAAGAAAGATGATTTGATAAGGAAGTAATATCTGGTTGAAGATGATCTAGATCTAGCACAAGTAATTATATAACAAAAAAATAATGCGGGATAATTCAAAAAACGTTCTATTGAATTTAAAGGGCCTATATTCACCAACCAAGTGTTAAAATTGAAAGGAAAGATGTGAAAATACGGCAACTTTCCCCCCCCTATCTTTTATAATAGCCTAAATTACATATTAAACACAGGATAGTCAGTCATATAAATTATCTAACTAAACCAACCTAAAATAACCTAGATATCAATGTTTATTGTGCATGAAAATCAATTCCACACAAGAAAAGCAACACGGTTAGCCGGTTTACACCCTTGTTCCAATGAATTGCAATCAGTATTGCAATGTCATTACTATTATATTAGATCCATTACTTTTGGGTCGTGTCTTTTACGTCGTTACTTACAATCGAAATAAACGTGTAATGTAGTAATATTTGTGAAAAATACAGATTCATGGTTCATGGTCACAGAACACATACTCTATTGGTGTTCTGTGTCACGATGCATTTAAAATATAAAATACGTTCCTGATTAAGTCGTCTCACAGAACAAAAATATAAATTTCAATGAATGTATAGTCTATCCATTCCCAATTGGAACGGCAATAAAAATAAGAGCACTACGAGGGGTGTTCATAATCACTGCCCGGCAAAAGCAAATGTATATACTACCAGTGCTTTTATGTTCAAAGCGTCCCTGGTACAGTCATAAAAATGTCTGGCCTGTGGCCCCTAGTCGCCCAGATAGTTAGTAAACGTGCTATCAAAAGTTGTTGAGGAATAAAGGCTCGGCTAGCTGGACTGGATGAATACTAATTATTTGGCCGTTTCACAATATTTCTTTAACAGTGCCGTGTGTTCGAAGAGTTAGGTGAGGTAGTGAGTGGTTTTGCAAACCGATTTTTCAAAACTTTTTCTAGAGATCAATTACACTAACGCCAAACTGATATTTTTGCACTCGCGCGTTTTGCTAACAAGGTTAGCATCTTCAGGAGAAGCAAATTGATATTGAATCTAAAGACAAGGGTTAGCTGTTTATGTACCTAAAGTTTTTTGGTCCGATGTGGACTTTGTTTGTTAAATGATGATTATTCTAATTGAATTAACTAGTTCAGTTGCATGAAAAAATTGAGGTTAAAACTGATACTAAGGACAAATGAATATAGTAACCGACTCAGAAAACAATGTGCTACAAAAGAAATCTAGAACGGTCGAAAATTGATGGATTTTCGACAAAAAGTAATAGATTTCTGACAAAATTCCGCCTGCTGCTGGCCTTTTAATACTTTAAGAATCTATTACTTTCAATTACCATTGATTCTGAGAAAACGGTATCATTTTTTAGTTCCCATGCAACACTTATTGCTGTCCAAATGGTATACAACACAAAAAACTTCCAACAAGTATTTTTGATTCGTTGCATTCCCATATGATTGTAATGCAGTATTTGGTACGAGTATGAATTTGCAGTTTTAACATATCTGAGTGGACTCATTGTTGACAGAAAAATTGAATTTTGAATATTTATTTGCTCTGCTCGCGATTCTGTGCATAATGCAACAATCTTATCGGGATTAATTTTTAGTCCAGAATAATTCTTTGAATAATTACAAATTTTACGCAAATCTCCATCCATTTCAGCACATCTCCATCCATTTTAGCAATACAACTTAACTTACTATAGGTATCACGAGTCGCAAGTTGAATATAATTGAAAATCGCTTGCGCAGAGTTGTCCTTGAGAACTTGTCAGGCAAGACGGTTAAATGAATATAAAAATTGAAAACATTAAAAGCTCCAGGATACTTTCTTGTGGAATACTCCAGGTCGTTTCTTCCAGACAATAATACAGCAGGTCCTGATCGAGTTTCACTCGCTGTGCACGACCGATAAGACAGTTAGTATCCCTTTCAGTGAAAAGGATCGGCCAGTCAAATCAAATTTTGTGAATTTTTTTCAAGTATTTTGAAAGTTTATCATCCAGAACACAACAGTAAATTTTTTACAAAAATGGTATAGAGCATTATCAAAATACGTCACTTTAAAACAGCGTATTTGTTGGAAGGTACTGTGACATCATGAGATATGTGAGATTGTCGGTAGTACAGCTCACAGGGAAAAATATGACCAATTTAGGTGGACAAAATTCTGAAATATTTCCCTATTCAACCTTTGGGTTATATTGTATATGCCTAATAAGCCGGCGAGATATGGACACGAAATAGTAATGGTTTGTGATTCTGAAACCAAATATATGATTGATGCTGCTCCTTACTTGGGAAAATATACCAAAAATCATGGTGATCCATTTGGTACTTACTATGTGAAAGAATTGGCAAAAACAGTCCACGGGTTGAATCGGTACGTAACTATGGACAACAGTGTTATCGAATTCCAATAAATTGACAATTGGTTAAAAATTTCGTAAAAATAAGAAAGAATTTCCACCAGAGTTTTCGGATGTAACACATCGCAAACCCAAAACCTTTATGTTCGGCTTCGACAAAAATTTGATGCTTGTTTCATATCTACCAAAAAAAAGATTGTACTTCTATTATCAACCTCACATGATCAACCCTTAATATCTCCCTCATCGAGGAAGCCCTCAGTTATTCAATTTTATAATGGAACTAAAGGTGGGGTCGAGACCATGGTTGGAGCACCGAACAATTTTCAAAAATTTATCTCGCCCACTCCAGAAATTTCTGAGTGATATTTTGAATCCTAAGGCTTCATCGAGTGAAATTATACCTCGTAAGGGACCCAGAACCATTTGCAGCCTTTGTCCATCGAAAAAAAGGAGAATGACCACCTCCTATTGTGACCAGTGCAAACTTCCTATGTGTGCGAAACATAGATCTACATCGTGCACTCAACGTTGAAAAATATTCTTCTTTTTCACCTCACATTTAAGTTGAAGTAATGAATATATTACCAGTCCGCTATTTTACCTTAACATTTTCAGGATTATTTAAAAAAGTCGTAAATATTACGATAGGATAGTGAGAACGTACATTCAAAACACGTTAGTCCTCAGGGTTAATACCTCCCGTGAAAGTATCTATAAAAAAAGACAAATCTCCAACTTTTCTACGATGTTCCAGATTATCAAGGTTATAAGTGATGTTCGAGTCTCCAATCAGGCGAATGGCTCTTTTGTGGATGGAATCCAGCAGCTTCACGGTATGCTTGGGGTCTTTACTGCTTAAATCAAAATTTGACAGCTGCCAGTGAAGATTTACATTGTTTTATCGCCGCATCGTCCAAAGCCTACTCGAACAAAGTGTGCGTTTCAAAGTCTACATAAAAAATCCAAAATTTCACAGCTGCACATTCCGGCCTGGCTGGTTAAAGATTACCCGAGAAGACCAGGAGAGCTTTTCCAGGCTGGTGGGCGCAGTAAGTTCCGCGCAGCCAAAGTCTCTCTGAAATGCATCATAGGAGACCCATTTCCCAAGCCACCCATTTGCGTTGCTTGCCTACCCGACCAAAGTAGGCCGATAGCCGATCAGGTCCTCGTAATATGGTCTGTTAAACTTGGGGTGGATTGTTCGTCACAAGAAAATTCCCTGGTTGCAGAGCACATACTCTGTGCCTGTCCCAGTGCATACCGGATCAGGTTTTCAGTATTTGGCAGAGTTTGACTCTTGTCAGCTGAACTGAAAAGTCACTCACCAAATGAAATAAACGGCTTCGTTAAAAAGCTGGATTTATTTGATCGAGTTTGAACCACAATAATTTCTCGCGGTTTACGGCGGAGGGTCGGACAGACCCTGCCTAACAAGTATGTAAAACCTACAGTGAAGTCAAAGCTCGTTTGACTTGATACAGTTCGAAGAGTGCCGCATGAACTTCAGTTAAAAAAATACAAAATTGCTTACCTAATTGTACTAAAAACAGACGTATGGTCTCTTCATCCAGCGTTCCTTTTTCTAAAACAAGAAAAAGTCTTAACTAAAGATATTTTTTGTAATCATCAGTTTCGACTTACTGGCCAAATAGTCTGCTAGATCCCCACCATTGCAATACTAGAAGAGAAAAAATATATGAATTTATATATTTCACAAAAAGATATATTCCAAAATTATAATATGTGCCGCATATACAAATTATAACACTCCAGGAACGGAAAGTAAGGTGATAAAATACTAGATATTGACAAATCAAGAAGAATACTTCTACACTTCTACATTTTTTTTTGTATGAAGATGGAGAAGTAGAAAGCCAAAACTTGTCTTTCTCCTAAGATGAGTGTACCAACATAAAAAAATTTAAAAATCGCTGATCGAATGGTAGCCCGCGAAATTTGAACATTCACCTTGTCTTTGGAATAGACCTCGTATATCTCTAGGTGGGTGAGTCTTCTAATGACTAAGAAATTCGTACCCAATCACCAGACTCATTTCATAATTCAAAATTAACCAAAATTAAGGATACAAATAGTGTTCCACAAAAAATTTTAGACAATGAAATTTCAACACGCTTAGCAGTGTTTATACTCGTAATGCCATAATTTGTCCTTTCCAGGTTGTAGAAGGCCTCTACGTCTACGGTCATGTACATTCTCAACAATTTTTACCAATTAATTTCAAGACTGAAGCAAATTGAACGACACTAGAATTTTCTGGTTTACAAATTCGATGACGAAATCATCGTTTTTACTTTCCTAAATCTTAGACATTCCATAACCTCGAATTAGAACTGATATAATAAAATTCTTCAGATAATACTCAACTTTTTCACTGAATGCCACTTGTGATTAAGCAAAATACTCCAGTCTAAAAATCACTCCCTGAGTCAC